ATCAGCTGTAAATGGAGGCAAGGCCTTATTACCAATTTCATATCTTTACAAAGGCATATCATTGCGATTTTCATTACTTATCTGGCCAGTATCATTGGAAATTTCATTAGCTACTTGGGCGACATCATTGCGATTTTCATTAGTTACTTGGGCAATATCATTGGCAATATCATTAGTTACTTGGGCAATATCATTAGTTACTTGGGCAATATCATTGGAAATTTCATTAGCTACTTGGGCGACATCATTGCGATTTTCATTAGTTACTTGGGCAATATCATTGGAAATTTCATTAGCTACTTGGGCGACATCATTGCGATTTTCATTAGTTACTTGGGCAATATCATTTGGAAATTTCATTAGCTACTTGGGTAACATCATTGCGATTTTCATTAGTTACTTGGGCAATATCATTGGCAATTTCATTAGTGAGCTTGGGGTGTTGCTCACTGTTGGTGACGACATTGGGAGTGGTTTTCAGGGTCCAGGGCGCATTTCCAAATATGGTAATACAGCTGAAAATAGCCAGAAAATATCCAAAAAAATCAGAAAAAAATGGGGGATGGTGCTCATTGTTGATGATCATATTGGGTAATGTTGTCAGGGTCCAGGGTCCAGTTCCAAATATGGTAATATATCCAAAAATAGCCAGAAAATGGCGGAAAAATTGAAAATATATATAAATGGTGTACAGAACATCAGGCACTGCCTTCAGGGTCCATCCCAAAAGGGAAATATCACCTGGTTTTACCAAAAAGCAAAGAAAACCAAGAGGAGAATGATTTTACCTATCAGGGTCCATGTAATGGGATGTTGGGATGATGGTCACATGACCAATTACCAAAAATGGTCAAAAACGAAAGTTGTAGCCCTACACTGTAGCTTCCCGAATCTGTTTGAATTATATTCTGAAGTGCTCCCGTTGTGGAGATATGAGGTAAAGGACTTTCAAAAGTGTCGCGTTTTTTTTTTGTTTTTTATATTTTTCTCCATGAAAACAAAACCAAATAACATGATTTCAGTATATTTAGAAAGCTAAAAGAAAGGGCTACAATTATTTTATCGTGGGAAAAATGACCAAAAAAGGAAGGTGCATGCCCTACTATAAGAGTCAGCTATAGACTACCAAGTTTACTGATAGACTACAAAATAGTTGGACTTAGACTACACAGTTTACTGATACACTATAAAAGACTACAAAAGC